ATATTTTCACCCTGACAGCAGTGCAATTTAAATACATTCTGCATTCAAATACACCACACATACAATTTACTTTATTATTTTTTTCAATTTGTGTGTTTCAGAAGAACACAATGGTTATATAACTATTAACACGCACAACTGGAAATGCCTACGTACTCCTGCTAAGCATTAGATCAGACAGGATACAGAACACTACTTCTGTCTTTGCTGTTAAAGGTCATTAGTAACCTGAGGAAAAATCAGACAGAGGTTAAAGGAAATGCAGTGTTAACTAGGTAAAGGTAAAGGATCCCCTTGACATTTAGTCCAGTCGTGTCTGACTCTAGGACACGGTGCTCATCCCAGTTTCCAAGCTATAGAGCCAGCGTTTGTCCAAAGACAGTTTCCATGGTCACGTGCCCAGCGTGACTAGACACGCTTACATGCTTTCAAACTGCTAGGTTGGCAGGAGCTGGGACAAGTGACGGGAGCTCACTCCATCGCGTGGATTCGAACTGCTACGGGAAAATACACAAACATTATTCCACTTGGTTGTTGTGGGTTTTTCGGGCTTTTTGGCTGTGTTCTGAAGGTTGTTCTTCCTGACGTTTTGCCAGTCTCTGTGGCCGGCATCTTCAGAGGACTGGAGTAGGAACTCTGTCCACGCTCATCCTCTGAAGATGCCGGCCACAGAGACTGGCGAAATGTCACGAAGAACAACCTTCAGAACACGGCCAAAGAGCCCGAAAAACCCACAGCAACCATCAGATCCTGGCCGTGAAAGCCTTCGAGAATACATTCTTCCACTTACTTTGAACAGGAGAATTGCTACAATATTAATTTCTCTTTCCAATAAACGCTCTAGAGACATAATAACTGTTTCTAGATTTACAGAAACAGACAAAAATGCACACGTACCTGTGTGAACATAACAAATCAGAAATCTATTTTGGAGCCCCAAAAATAACTGGGTCTGCATGACATTATTACCATTCAATCCTAATAATCTTGTCAAATGTAAATGTTGGGGCCTGGGTATCATGTACTTAAAACACATATCAAAACATGCAGATTTACTGGGAAGTGTACTCCAACAGAGGTTAGTGTCTGTAATATTTTTGTATAATCAATAAGTCACAGTAGCCCCATTCAATATATTTGTTCAACATGTGGAGAACGTAGTGTGCTAGCCCCATCATCTTCAGTCTCAGTTTGCTCACATGAAAGCAACATCTGAGCAGAAAAAACTCTTAACGTGAGCCAGAACTTCAAGTTCCCCACATTCTGGTTTATATGGAGAGCCTGCACAAGTAAACACAAATGAGGCTCTGTTCTTTAGACATATCATTTTTATGTGAGTGTTCCTCCTTCCCATCCTGGATAAAACACACTACCTTAAAGACTAAATAGGGCTTTGGGGTGTGTTCTAACTTCCCAACAGATTTTCCTCCCTCTGCTGCTTCCCAATTTCTACTCCAGATTTAAAGAACAACCATAACTGTTTTCAGTTAGTCTAGAAATAATGAACATCCACAAAAGCTCACATTAAAATATAGCAGTTAGTCTTTAAGGTGCCATATTTTTGTCTTTATTTTTGCCTGATATGTTTTCAGAAGTTACAATGAATGTAATTATCTGCTCTAATGCCACAGATACCACTGTATCACATTTCAACATTAATAGCTTGCTGACTCTACATTTGCTGCTGTTAATTTGTGACTAAATTTGTTGGGTCAAATTAAAGTACATTTATGAAATAACAAAATATGCCTGGTTTATATCATCCCATTTACTTGCTTTTATTACATGAAAAGAATTAGCTTCATCCATTACATTATCAAAAGCACTTGCAATTCTTAAGTATATATTTTCAGCAATCAATTATTTTCTGCCATATTAATTTGTTTCTGAATCTTTCTGTTTGACTAAGAATTGCAGAAATACTGTTAACTGAATGTCAACAGATGTTAACCAAATAACTTTTTTAAATTACTGGGTAAATTCCCAGGTATTTTGTCCTGTTTACGTCTCCTGTGAGGAGAGGTAAACAGTACATGCTATAAATTCATTGCTCACGTTTGGATTAGAACTATCTTCCTAATCCAGTGGTCCACAACAGCTTCTAATAATAAAGCGTGGGCCAACAGACCAAACTGCACGAAATTCAAAAACAGGGACAAGTGAGAGCGGACATCTTACTCATATCCTGGAACCAGACTTTAACCTAATCAGCTGCCTTTCAAGAGTAAGAGAGGTTATGTGGTGTTTTGAGAAAAGGGGCACAGCTAATACAGCTCTGCCAGCCATTCCCAGGTAGTGCATTATGCATCCATGGCAGTGGCACAAGTACTGCTACAGCAGCTTGAACAATTTAAAAAGTTCTAAGAAATACACTGTGAAAACTAATCATGCTCACAAGGTATACAGATGGAAATATATTTAACATACGCATTGATATAACAAATCCAGTTTTCAAAAGCTGTGCATGCTGAAGTATAAGGCTCCCAAGCTGATAAAAACAAGTTGTGAATTCTTTGGTAAAAGTCAAGCTGCAGATTCTTAACTTTACAAGTGAGATGCCCACTGTATCATGGGAATGTGTATAGAAACATGGCCATAAAGACAGACTTTACCTGAGTGCATACACTGTTTCTTATAACATAAGACTGATTAGTAAGCTCAGAAGATCAAAACATTTCATGGCTGATATGCTATTTCTATATGCAACTGCACACAAATGTGTTGATCATGTTAAAGATATAATGGGTTTAAGAAAGCCAAAGCCTTTTCTACATACAGTTTAACTCTGTGCAATCTTGCAATTTCATTCATACCAACTTCATCTTAATTTTGCAGTTATAAATTTGAATATAATGCAGTGTATAAGGGAGAGGGTACCTACCCAAATCACTCTAAAATATACCGACAAGTTCTGTTTGCATCTGCTCACACTGACATAATGATGTTAACACAAGGGCCTGTGAAGGGCATGAGAAAAGCATGGTATGGAGTCTCCACTTGCACTCCACCCCTTTGAAATATAGGTAGGAGCCGCTAATACACGTGTGCAGTGTAAACGTGGAGTTTTATCCATTCCCATGTCTTGTCTCACTCATAAGCTGCTCTCACTCAGCTGGGGAATGGTTACACCAGCTATTTTAGCATCCTGCCCAATGCAAGTCAATCCAAATCTGAACAGTGAAAATTTTAACATACATAGATGTTGGTTGATATTTAGTATTTTGTAAGCATATTGCCTAAAAAGAGAACAGTTAAAATTACAGAATGTATCAGCAAGAAAGCAGTACTGCTGACAATTGGCATACGCTATTAAGATGAAATAAAAAGCAAAGGCATTAAAACAGTTTCTTAATCAATAAAAAGAGACAAACAAACAATTCTACCTAGAATACATATCAATGATTTAGAGGCTGTATCTCAAATACTTCCAAAAAAACCCCTACCTCAATGACAATTGATAATTACATGTACATCATGGAGCTGTAAACCACAATGTAAATCAGACAGCAAAAAATTAAAAGATTATAAAATAAATAACACAGATGCAAAATAGGGTAAAAAATTAAGCAGCTGTCCTAGTCATATTAAAACATATTTAGTTCCAACTAATCTCTCAAATAATTATCTTAATAACTTTCAACTCTAGCAGCAAAAGCACTTCCTGTGATTTAAATCTGGCTTTTAATTATTATGAGGCGAATCCACAGTATCCAGCAATATGAAAAGAAGATAATGTCAGGGTCCTTAAATTGACAGTTTCTGTGCATTTCAATGAACAATCTAAACAAACATTTTATATTCAGAAGTACAGATATTTTAAAACCTACGATGACAAGAATTCTAAAGGCATTCACTTAAGGACTTGCCACAGCTAATTGTGGGTAACTGACAAGATGCCATGCCCCAACATCTCATTAATTAGTTACAATTAACAGAACACTAGGCTTATGGGAACACTAACAGGATTGTGGCCAATATTTTCCAAATTAATCAATTTAAATTAAAATATTTAGCAGGTTTGCAAGGAAAAGGTAACAGAATTGACAGTATTTACTACTTCAAAAATGTACAAAACCTTGCTTTATTAGACATTTATTTGGGACTTTTGTCCTACATCTGAAGGCTGTAGCACTTAAGTGCATGTATTACCAATATAGATACCTAATACATCTTCCTTTTCCAGGCAGGAGTATTAATACTCATATCAGAAAGAAAAAATGTCTAAATGTCAAAATGAGCATGTTTGTTGCTAGATACAAAGGAACAGATTTGTCATTTCTGGTTAATACAGATATTTTTCTGACCCTCTTTTATGCCACCATCTAAGCACTTTTTCTAATATAACTATCTATACTTGTTCCTGGAGAGATAATGCATAAAAATGCCCTAATTCTTCTTTTCTCAAGTTGGAATGGCACTTTCATTTGATGTCAATGTAATTGCACAAGTCTACCAAGAGAGGGCACTTTGAGAACAAGACAAAGACAGATCTCTAAAACTCATCTAGGATGTGACAACTTTTAGAGAAACTACACTCATCTGAGTGATGCATTCAAAGTAACCTTAGATTTATACTTTGGAAGAGAGATAAAAATCACATATTAATAAGGTTTGCTCATCTCACCTCAAGCAATAGGATGCAATACAGAATTAAACAGAAAGCAGTAACAGTTTGCATATATTTTTAGCTTCAAGTGTTTTTTGTTTTCTCACTGATTTGACTTTCAGAATAAATATCAGCAGTTAACATACTGCAGCTTTTCTGACTGATTGACAAATATCTTAAGTCAAGTTACAGGAGCTTGTTCTCAAGCAATCTTAGTGGGAAGGTTATCATGAGCACAGTTCCTTAAATGAAAATGACCAGTGACTGCATCCAAAAATTCTGATGGCTTTTGTGACTTTTGGAAGACAAGCATCTCCATCATCCTGCTGGATAGCTCAGTGGTTTAGATCTCTGGCTGCAGAGCCAGACACTGGGAATTCAATTCCCCGCTGTGCCTCCTTGACAGGGGCTGGACTTGATCCAATGGGCACCTTCCAGCTTTGCAGTTCTAAGATCATCATGATCATCATCTCAATTGCAGGGAACAAGTCTATTACTATATTTTTCCGTGTATAAGATGATAATTTTTCCTAAAATCATTACACTAAAAATTGAGGGGAGTTTTTTACATGGGAGTAAGCTGAGAATACAGGGAGAATAAAACGGCCCATTCCTTGTCTCTGTAAACAGAGTTCCTTCAGTCACGAGGCTTAGCTTCCTACAGTCAGGAGATTCAGCTTCCTCCAATATAAGCCTAATGGAACTGATGCCAGCTGATGCTGAACAAACCAAATGGAACACACCTCGTTGGAGGTGGAGCCTGTAGGCTCAGATACAACAGGGATTACTAACGTCAGAGCGTTCTGAGCCCAGAGGCTGAATACTCAAAGCTAAGTTTTCTTAATTTTGGGGTTAGAAATGGGTGTGTGTCTTATAAACAATGGTGTCTTATAAATGGAAAAATACAGTAATTGTTTAAGGTTTCCTAACAGATTCTATCAATGGTACACTGAGTACAGAAGTTCTCAGAGTGAAAATGGTTGAGCCACATTAACTGTAGTTGTCATCCTGTGCAGTCATTATGAAGACAGTGCCAGAATCCTACTGGGATTTTACCCTGGAGTAAGTGAAATCAAATACATTGAAACTAATTAATAAGGTGTCAGTTGTGTGACTAGCCTTGCACCACGAATGTAACCAGACTTGTAACCAGAATTTTGTTAAATTGCCATCACTGCAGCTTATGTGATTTCACTTACTCCAGGGTAAAATCCTAGTAGGATTCTGGGTGATTACATAATCAGAAGGGTCAGAAAAATCCAATATTTAGGAGAGGGAATAAGTAGTAAGTTTGAGATGACAACTAACCTCTCCCTTATCTGCACTGTAACTCCATGTACTCAATGTCTGGGACTACTTTGGAAAAAGACATAATTCAAACATTTCACAACCCTGTTAAACATTTGTCAGATATAGTTTTGAATAATTGATTCTGTTTTCATATGGAAGGAAGGAAGTTAAAATCAAACATCTGTCATTCATATTCACACTTTATGTGATCTTATCCATGTGCAACAGTTACATTCTAGTATCACAAGGCTGCAGACTACTGGAGTGTAAAACCTGAAATGCAAACCCAGATGAATGGAACATTAGAGATATAAGACTGGCTGCAGAAGCATGATAATTAACTTAGGCCCAAATCTAAATGGCCAGTGGATGGAATGTTGGACTAAAATTCAGAAGACATGGATTCAAATCTCTCACTTGGCCAAGGAAACTCACCGGGGATAGAAAACTGTAAACCACTCCTTGAACATCTCACATACATTGAAAACCCCAGAAGGGTCATCAGAAGCAACTTAATAGTACATAACACCACCAACAACTGCATATGTCAGACATTACGAGTTCAAAAGAATCAAGTGGCTTAGACATACTCATAAAGTTCCACTCATCCTTAGCCAGATGTCTCACAATTAACACATGTCTGGGCATACAGCTCTTCTATGCATATAGGACACATCACAAGGACAGGTGCTGAAGGAATCCTGCACTTCCTCACTAGTATTTGATTGCATGTACTAAGGAAATCTATGACAGCCTTCTGCAGCCTGGGTCTTCCAAACGGCTCTGACCATAACTGGCTGCTTTTACGAAATGGCTTTTAATGGTTTGGTGATACATTTTACTACTAATTTTAAATTGCTTTCATATTATATGATATAAAAGCAATTATATGATTAATGCTTTCATATTAAAATTTGCTTAACTGTGTTTGAACATCACACTTTTTTCTACCTATTCTTAATCTCATCAGCTGTGGCACTGCCAAGCACCAGCACAGCAATGTAAATAGATGTTCCAGTGCCAGCACTGGGGTTATACCACAACTGTGATACTACCTTTTGATTCTATGAACTTTTTTCACACAGTGACTCACAAAAGTAGATCACAAGTTACATCATGCTGATAATGCTCTGAATAAGTCTTTTGACAGCAAGTATCCCTTTAACACAAATTTATCCTGTTAACGGTTGGAAGAATTCATGCTACTGACTAGTAATTTATCTAAATTATAACCACCATAGAGTACTTTTAATCTTGTCATATGAGCATTTTGCTTCATCTCACTTTTTAAAAGCCATTGAACTGACTAAATTAGAATATTATACACAGTAGGTAATGTTTATCTTTAACATCTATACTATATTAATACTATTTTTAATATGTCTCCCACATGTATTATCCAATCTATGAACATGTGAAATTTAAATTCTAAATGATTCTAAAGTGACTATACAAAACAGGTAGTATTATTGTAGCAACAACACAGTATTTAGATGTTTATACCAGATACATTATAGTGATTAATGAAGATAAATACAACCCTGCAAAATTAAGCACTTAGAATTATCCTATGCATATCTATGCAAGGGACGTTGAGTACAACAACACTTAATCCTGAACAAGTGTGTACCTGTTTAAGTCCATGAAAGTTTTCACCATTACTATCAGATTTGCCTTTATGGTGTCACAATTCCCTTTGTTGTTTTTGGTGTAACAGACTAACATGGTTTCCCCTTTGGAGCTGGCTGAGCAAGTGATTGAACCTCCCACTGAAACCAACAGATCTAAGAGATGCTTCACTTTGGTTGAATCATAGTATAAGGTATCTCTCCTCACCCCACCCTGTATGCATTTCTAAAATGAAACTTATTGCATTGACAAAGAAGAGGAAATTAACTTTTTATAACAATACCTTTTCCTCTTATTTTCCACTAGAACAATGTGTTTATAAAGCCAAAAACACTGAACACAACTTTGCTTTTAAAAAAACCCACAATCCTTTAAAATGCCATTTTCTGGTAATAAGCTACTTAATATCATACATAATTAATAAAAGAAGGCATTGTGAACTTCAAACCAGATTAACAAGATAAGGAAGGGTCCTTCCATATAATCCAGTGAGTGTTACTGATAACAACAATAAAAAATCAAGGCAGGCAAGACTCTTTTCAAACCTGTTGGTCTGATAAAACAACAGAGTTTCTATCAAAACACATAATTGTACAGTTTGGTATCAAAACAAAATAATATAACATTTGTACATCAATCATTATATTCAATATTAACATCAAATACTAAAAGTGTTTCATCTAGAAAGCCAATCTGAAAGGAAGTACACTTTAAAAGTAAACAGAGGAATGTATATTAATCCCAAAACAGAAACAAGATCATTATTATTAAAATAAAGCCTAGGGCACATTATGACATCTAAGATTGGTGGGTAGATTTTAATTGACTTGAGGGCTGTCATAGTTCTATTATCACAAAACCTGCAACACACTTCCAGCATGGAGGACCCATCTGTGCCCACCATCCATCTGTTTAGACATGATTGGCAAAGTGGTAGGGAACTCGCAGTGGTTGTCTTTGCCTGAAAGGAATAAACCACAGGATCTTCCAGCGAGTGCCAAAAACTTCAGAGAAGGTCTGCTGCCACGGCTTTCGAGGTTTCGATCTAAAGACAACAGCATTATTAGTGAAAGACAGCACTCCCATGGTGCACTTCAGTCAACTAGAACAATACAAGTTGGCTGGGGATCCATTACTTGACTCTGATGAATTGCAATCCCAGCCACGACAAGCACTGATTTTCTTTCACTACAGCATGCAGCTGAGACTTAACTATAACAAGTACAAACTGCATCTGTATCAGCCAAAGGAATTCTTAGAACTAAGATGATTCTTGTGGTCAACACAGTGTTTGCCAACAAAACAAAACTCTTGCTATAATCTTTGAAAATATAGTTTTGATGGCTATGGAAAGGAAAGAATAATCTTACATTCTTCTGTATTAAAAGGTTGAACAAGTCATGCAAAGCTTTCCTTAGTACCTTAATGTCTCACACATATTCAGCTTTTAACTATACAACTTCCCATTCAGCATGAGAATATCAAAATGATACTTACACTTCTTCACAACAGTTTGCCAATTTTTCTATACTTGTAGTATCCTGTTAGGAAGAAAAATAAATAATTCAATGCTCCCTCTTGTGATAAAATAAGATTTCCTTATTGTCAGTGTAGATACATGAAGAGCATACAACTGAATAAAATGCACACAACTTAATAACCTGACAGTAATAAGAGAGTTAACAGATATATCTATGTTATAATGACAGTTGTAACAAAAAGATTTTTCTGTAAGAAAGGCTGCAATTCTTCTAAATAAATTTTAAAATATTTTTCTGCAACCTATTTACCAAGCAAAAAGGAACAAAATGCTTTTGCATTTAAATATGGGTTGTCTGCTCAGATAGGCAACTATAACTTTTTATGTATACACTGTATGAAATTATGAATAGCTGCCATTTATTCAACAAAGTGCTATCATTAAGTACAGAAATAAATTTAGCGAGTTTTCCTCACACTTTTGTAGAAGCTATGCTACATAATCGTCCCTGAGTTTCAGGAGCAAACAGGATGGATATTCTGGTAAACAATTAAAGTGATATTAGTGCAATATGATTTCACAATAATCTTCTTTGGTTTCTGCTGGGGATAAATTAGAGTGGGTTTTTTTTAAAAAAATGAAGGAAAACAGTACCTCAAATTTTAAAAACAAATTAATAACTGTATTGCAATTACATTACATTGGGTTTGGTCCAGCCCTAGTCATATTTAGAGTAATCCCCTTGAAACCAATTAGTTTTAAGATCAGTGAGGAATTACTGCTCCAATTAATTTCAACTGCCAGAATCCTGTTGTTGATTTACAGGTACATAAGTTAATTATGTAACCTACCTCTGCAAATTGCCCCTAACGAAGTGCCAGCTACATTACTGTGTTGCTACTGGTGCCTCCTTATTTAGTGGCAATTCACCACAGTCAGTTACAAACATTTAGCATGTGCATGTGAAAACCAACCAGCAAGATTTTGGCCAATGAATCTGTGTTAAACACAGATAAATCTGGATTCAATGCAATATGATACATTATTTATCTCTTCTGTTAATTCAGATCTTTAAAATTGTAGAAAACTAGAACAATAAAACCTCTTCCTTATTCTGGTAATGCCTGTATTTCATGTATCCTGAGCTGAGATTAAATATCTGAGAGAAAGAAAACTCAAAAACCTCAGTTAAATAACGTAGCAAGATAGACAGAGAGAGAGAAAACATTACATTGCTATTTTAAATAGCAATGGAACAGAAATAGGAATAGTGGTGGCAACTACACTCATGAAGCAAGTCTGTGTCCCCCTCTCCACTTCCTCAAGCTATTCCTACCAGGCAGATGGATGAATCTGAAATACATATTGAATTGGAAGTGAACTTCTTTACTTTTGTAAGGCGAAAAAGAACTTCAGAGAAACCAAAGTATCTTGCAACAGACTTACAACAATGAGATAAATGTTGGAATTAGTTTTCAGGGAGGTACTACAGTCGAAAATGAAGCAAATAATATAAAGGTAAAAGGATTAAAATTCCCTTTCCTAACACTAGTGTCACTCATCCATGTCTGCCTGCATCACAAATGATGGATGGCACATTTTAATCTCTTCCTTAACAATTCCCCTCAATCAAAGGTGTTCCCAGTTATCTGTAATGAAGAATCATTTGGGAATCTCACATGTAAAATGGAAAATATTTTCTAAATATGGGGGAGTGGGAATGGAAATGCAGGAGTTGTTTAGCTTTCTAAAACAGGCTGAATCTTAGTGTAACCAAATGTTTCCATTCATCTTTTCTTTTAATATCCATGTGAGTGCATTTGAGAGGGAAAGGAAAAATAAAAAACCACTGTAGACGTGGTTGTTATTATTTTAGTAACCTTTACATGAAGCATAAAAGTTATGTACATGTGTCTTTCATTCCCTCCTCGACAGTTCATCAGGGATGCCATGAACTGTCAAGGCTGCTCTGTCAATTATGAACTAAATGTATCATACATAACTGAATGTTTGTCTTTTTTTAGAACAGACCCACTGAACTGAATGGTTGTTAGTAACAACTAATTTAACTACCACTGCTTTCAGTGAAGTTACTGTAGGACAGCCTAAGGACGTCATAGAATAGTCTTTGTCTCTCATATTTATGAAACCATTCCATCAAGGGATTCTTTATGTAGCTGTGATAAGAATTATTTGCATTTAAGTCAAGTTTAGAGATTTTCCAATACAATATTTTCCCACACACTTTGGAGAATACATTCTTTTAATCTAAAGGATTAAATTAGTACAACTACCCAGTATCAATTTTTTTTAATTGAATACATGAATTAAACGGGAATCAGATCCTAGATTCTCTCTCTAACTCTTGTATTTCACCTATCCATCCAACTACAGCTACTCCTGACAGCTAGGAAACACTGCTGAGCATGCATACATTTAGCATCAAGGCAGGAAGGATGCATGGGAGTAACAAACTAGAAGACTCTTCATTCATACACAAAAATGTCTTCTGCTCATGTCAAGAACATTTGATGCCCTATGAAAAAATTTGCTTTCCCCTGTTCTTATGTAGAACCCAGAGCACATTGATTTATCTCCAGAACAAGAAATAAAAATGATTACATGAACTGACTAAAACGGAAAGAGAACATGTAGGGAAGAATTACACCAATAGGGCCAAGTGTATAGATTCTGGTCCTGTAAGAAGGTACAGAGGTATAAATCCTGTGTTACACAAATTTCTCACATCCTGCTTATCCAGCAGGACAACAGTCCTTAACACAGTATTGATTGATTCACTACCAGGCTCAGAAGGAAATGTTTCACTTTCTGAATCACTAATATTTCCTGTGGTGTTTAAGCTTTCTGTAGTATTCCTGTATCTAAATACTGACCTAGAATGACCCAGCTTAATTCAGTACATCTGAGGAGATCACAGCTTGAGAGGCAAGACTGAAAGACACCTTCCATAATAAATACACCTTCTGTAAGTAATAAAAATTACTATATATTAAAAGACTATAAAAATATCCCAAAAAATAGTGCATTAATGACAGTATCCCTGACAGGATGCCATCTCTAGCCTCTTCCTAACTACTTCCGGCAAAGGTAAGCCTGTTCATGGCAGTCTGTTCAAGTACTACACACCTCTTCAGTTTCTCCTGATACGTAACCAAAATGTTCTTCCCTATTATTTCCATCCATTGATTCTAGTCTAGTTCAACAAGTCCATTTTCCATCCAACAGCTTTTTCTCTTCATCTTCTCTTTTCTAGGCTAAAGCAAATTAGCTTTTGCAGTTGTTACTCACGCAACGTGTTTCCAAATCCTTTACCATCCTATTTGCCTTTCTGTAGACATGCTCCAAACTATCTGCCAATTTTCTTCTTAAAATGTAACACCCAGAACTATACTTCAGAAATGCCCCGGCCAGTGCAGCAGAATTACTGTATGTGATAATCTGGATCCTATGTTTTTATATACAGTGGTGCCTGGCAAGACGAATGTAATTCATTCCATGAGAAGCACTGTCTTGAGAAAAATCATCTTGCGAAAAGCAGCTTCATATACAAATGCATTGCAATGCATTCCTATGGGAACCTTGCAAGATGAATGAAATTTTTTCGTCTTGTGAGGCATCAGTCTCGAAAAAAAGTCTTGCGAAGCACAACCATAGAAGAAGCCGTCTTGCGAGGCACCACAGCGATCGAAAAAACCATTCTTCTTGCAGTTTTTTCATCCTGTGAGGCATTCGTCTTGCGAGGCACCACTGTATTTGCATAAGCATATTCCCATCAGAAATAGTTTTAATTTTACCCATAAAATCTCAACAGTTTCTGTGTGATTAGGCTTTGTGGAAAGTGTATTAATAGTTTTGATTCTCATTTTCTAAAGAAACAGAGAATGTTTCTCTGACAGCTCTATGGGTGTAATATAGTTCCCATATACACAAGAAAACTAGAGTTTTGGCTGACAATATGAGCCATATGAAATTGAACTAATATATGTGAACACTTTTCCTGAACTAACATGGTATGTAAAACCACTGCAACCTGTTTAAATACCCACCATTTAAAACCAAATGTCATTTCCCCACTTTGAAACAGGTATACTCCTAGTTCATAAAGTTATAGGATTATTTTAGTGTAAAATAAATTTAATTACTCATATAATCTTCCTAATCTATGCTGTGTATTCATTTTGGTGAGAAATTTAAACATCTGTAGGTCTCCAGAATACAGCAAGATATAAATCAAACAAATGAATGGTTGATATAATTTTTATATAATGTATTTTATTTTCTTCAGAAAGTAGTCTAGTAGTATTTTAGTACATTTGTAATAAATCAATTAAACCCAAAGGTGAGAGAAGAATAGGGTTATTAAAAGAAAAAAAAAGCTAAGTTTAAAAACTCAATTATGACTAACAATACATGGCCAATCTGATCTCAAACTCTCAAAGAAAACCATACATAAGATAATTGTTCTGAGTTTAATATATGCAAATTCAGACAATGATTGCTTTAGAAGAACACTGACATCCCACTATGATCTTGATTGTTGCTCTACTAAAACTTAATTATCAGGATTAATATTGCCTTTGATTACATTTCCAGTATGTTTAGGGGAAAAACAAGCCCTAATTATTAAACTAATCTGAACAGTATTTAATAGATTATCTGATTAAACATATGATTAAATTTTTGCTTAATTATAAGATATTTGTTGAGATGAAATGTGTAACTTTACAGCAGATTAAAATGCAATATAATGACAAAAATTAAAACAGAATTAAATTCAGTTATATGGTTAAAATACAATTAAAATTAAAACTCATTAAAATAGTAGTACTAATTTAACTTCAGTGAGAAACAAGCCCATCCATAGAGAAACAGGAGATTCTTAATTCTCAAAACCTTGCTTAAATAAAAATGCCTTAACTTTCCATCAGAAGGAGAGCAGGGAGGGGGCAAACCTAGCCTCTATTAGTAAGGGGTTCCAGAGGCTTGGCACAACCAAGAAGTCCCTACTAGATGGGCCTCTGAAAGTGGTGGAACCATGAG